CGAGGTCGCGGGTGAATCACCTGCTTCCTGGCCAGCCGCCATCCCCAGAGACCAGCCTGCAGGCTGCTGGCCGCCCTGCCCCTTGGAGGTCCCCGACTAGCTGCTGGGAAGGTGTCCCGGAATCCCGGAGCCCCTGCCAGGAGAGACCACCTAGCCACATCCACCCACAGAGGCTCTAGCAGGGTCTTCTACCCGAAGGATACCACCACCCTGACTTCCATCCCTGATTGACTGAGCAGGCTGGAGGGAGGGGGCAGACAGCTCTCACACACACACACACACACAGAGGCCTCCCCCCCCCCCGGGCCCCCCCCCCAGGATCGAGACCCAGCAAATTGGGAAGAAAAAGCCGCTCTTTAGACTCTGGCTGGATGTGAAAGGAGGGGGCAAAAAGGATGGAGTCCTAGATTCTGGCTTAAGGGGCTCCAGGCTGCCACAGAGGGCTGGGGGTTCAGAGCCGGCAGGAGTGAGGGAGAAAGGTGGAGCTTAGTTTGGATGGGCAGGTTTCACCCTTGAAGCCACCCGTGTCCCCACATCCATTGTACCCTCTTCATAGGTGACGCAGACCAGCCTCAGTGGCCAGCCCAGGCCCCCAGGAAGGTCACGCGCTAGGCTGTGCCACCAAGTTTCTCTTTGGTTGGGAGTGTGCTTGGTTAGGGGGTGGGGTGGGGGGGCGTGGCATCTTGCATCCCATCCTTTCTTCCGTGCCTGCTAAGAACTGACGAGGACAGAAGAACAAGTGCCTCAGGGCCTGCATGTGGCTGGCTGAGGTGGCAGGGACCATCCAGTTCTCAGCGTCCCTCACGGGAGACGTGGTCATGGGGAAGGGCTTGGGCTTCCTCTAGCAGGAAGTGCTTCACGATTACTTTAGGTGGTCACCGGCTATATTAATAGAGGCAGACCACGTAGAAAGAAGGAGGGGATGGGTCAGCTCCTGGGAACTACTCAGACCATAGTCTTCAGCAGCTTCTGTTTAATAAGGATAAGTCAAGCTGTGTTGTTACGGCAGGTCCACTTCCTACATGCACAGGCTTATCCCCGACGGAATGTGCTTAAACCTGTCTCTGTGATCAGTGGATGGCTGGGGACAAGTTCTCTCAGTGTTAACACCCGTCCATCTCGTCAACCAAAGCCAAACTCACTGCCATCGAGTGGATGCAGCCTTACAGGACGGGGTGAGCTGCCCCAGCGGGGTGTCAAGGCTGTAACTCTGTATGGGAGCAGAAAGCCTCGTCTTTCTCCCTCGAAGCGCCTGGTGGTTTTGAACTGCTGACTTGGCAGATCCAACTTGTAACCACTACGCATTAAGGCTCCTCTAAGCTCATCCGGGTGGCCTCATTAAAAAAATTATTATTTTTATTATTTTTTAATCATTCAAGTTGTTTTACTTATTTTGTTTAACATTTTATTAGGGGCTCATACAACTGTTATCGCAATCCATACACACATCAATTGTGTAAAGCGCATTTGTACATCATTCTCAAAA